TGGGTTGAAGTCATAGGGGAGATAACCTGGTCCCATGCCATATAGGGCTTTAAAGGTGATAACCAACACCTTGAATTGGAGCCGGAAGCAAACTGGCACCCAATGCAGCTTGTGGAGCAGAGGCGTTATATGGGCCCTCCTTGGGGCACCAACAATAGCCCGCGCGGCTGCATTCTGGACCAGCTGTAGCTTCCAATTACTTGAAAAAGCTCCAGATGTCAACACATGCATTTAACACATGGCAAAGTAATTCTGATTTGTATCTATCAACAGACTTAAAAATAAGTTCTCCCTTTTGTTCAGTTTCATTCACTTCAGTTTTCCTAGATATGCTGTCTGTGATTTTATATCCAATTACAAATTCCCCAAAATCATATTTCCCAAAATATGAACATGAAGCAAAGAAAATGTGAACACAGAATCATATATAACAGCATATGGGAAATACTTCAGCAGACAGAGCAAGAATGTTAAAATTTCTGTTTTGCACAAACCAGCAAAAAGCAGTTAATCTATGGAAAAAGCAAAACATTAAACAAAAACAAACAAAAACAAAGCACCAAAAATTAAATCACAAGGGTTATTAGGTGGATCAACAGCCACAAAAGTTAGAAGTAATAACTGTTGGAAATGGCTTCAGTGTGGTGTTACAAGATTCATTACTAGATGTGGTTTATCAAATTTCTTGGAAAGCTTCAGCCAAGTTCAAGCCAGCCTGCGGGGGAGGAGACAGATGCAATATGATGCAAGTTATACAAAACTATAGCAAACGATTTTTCAGGTTGATTTTTCTTTTGTAATTCCTGAATCTCTAATGCATCATCTGTTTACAAAAGCATAGCTCACACATCACATAAATCAAAATATAATAATGTGTTTCAAAATAAGATATATGTATACATATATCTATATACATATACATACACACACACACATATCTTGCACAATGGCTAGATTCTTATGAAGCAGCCAAAATCATGCAAACTATACAGTGACTTAATTCAATGCATAACCCAGTCACTTCTCAGATCAAAAGAAATATGGCTCTGTCTAAGAAACAGGAAGTAGATACCTATTCAATTTCTGGTTATGTCTACAAGATTACATTATCTTGGTTAAGCTATGTAACTGCAGCATCTCTGCCTGTTTGGCTGGATACTTTGCATTTGGCTTTTATAGTCCATATTTTCCTCTTTGTTTTGCCTTTGGGAGAATTTTTGAGAATGCCTTTGAAAAACTACAACCTATTATCATGCATTCTGATACATATTCCAGTATAGTAACTTTCCTTTCACCCTCATGCTGTCTACTAAATGAATATTTAATTAATACATTAATTAAAATTTTAAACCCCATTCTTCTAATATATATGGATCACTCAGGGTACATAACAACCAATATAGAATCAAATCATTCAAAAGAGAAACAAGAATGTGAGTTTAAAAAAAGCAATTAAATGTCTACTAAATGTTATCTAATAAGAATAGGCAGATAAGCTCTTCAAGTAAAGTGAATGGTTTGCTAAAGAGAAAAATCTTGACTGGTCAATGAAAGACCACGAGGTAAACTGCCAGCCTGGCCAAAGGAGTTTCATGGTCAGCCTTTCAGTTGTTGTTCCCACCAATCTTACTTCTGTCATGGTTGGGACACAGTTGAATCACAGCTGTTTTATGTTAAACACAACCAAATCTGTTATAAGGGTAGATATGTTTTAAATGTGAAGGTTTGTTATATTTATTAAAATTCCGATGGTGAGTTTTAAGAACCTTTAAGGCTACAGTGTCTTTCAGTCAAATAGCTTAATTAATTTAAAACATGATTACTAAAGTGTTCTTAATTAATCATACCTTTTAACAGTTAGATTGGGGCATGCTGATCTGGGGAAAAATACTCTGAAAATACAAAGTTGACCCTATTTTCATTTGTAAGAATGGGAGGAAAGATATGTGGCATATGTTCGGATTATTTATCAGAGACAATTTAAATTCTTTTACTTGATTCTTTTTTTCTGACAGTTTGTAATTTTAGGAGATTTCAACAATTAATTTTGAAGTATTTGTTATCATGAATATACACATACCCAGAAACATCCCAGCAGCCCTCATCCTAGCTAGGCCTGGCTAGTACTTGGATGGGTTAGTACTTGGATGGGAGACCACCAGGAAATACTAGGACTGTAAGCTGGTCTGGAAAGTCTGTGGCAAACCTATTCTGTACCGTGGCTAACAAAATAACATGAACATCTTGTAAAAATTAGATGTCACTCAAGGGAATTTTATTTTATTTACTTGTGCTACTGTTGGTTAGGCTTCATACCACCCCATCATGGATCTCTAGGATGCAGGATTGCAATCCTATGTGCACTTTCTTGAGAAGAATTTACTTCAAGGTAAACATAAATCAGATTACTCTAGTTTGGGGAATGGCAACAGATGCAACTGGACAAGGAAAGAGAGGGCATAAATGCAATGGAGTTGTAAACATTGTCGAGTTTGAATTATAGCTCTTCTAGCACTGAATACAACTGAATCCACCGTAAGATTAAATTGTCTATTAAACATATCTTTTCCCAGCCAGTGCCAAGGAATTGTGAGAGCTGAACTACAACATGTCTGGTTGGGGAAAGCTGTAACAAAATGTTCTCTCCAATTTCATGGCAGTTTAAAGGTCCTGCCTTTTTTACGCTGCAGTCCTACCCTTTGCTGCAGTGCCCCTTGCTCTTGGGTAAACAGATTTAGGCTTCCTCCGTAAGAAAATGGTCCTTACCAACTCTCCCTAAATCGGATGTCCCTTAAATTACAGCCACCGCCATAGCCATCCTCCATGCGCTTCTTGCCTAAGGCTGCTTGCTAGGTGCGGAAATCCAAAACGCCTGTCAGTTTGCGAAGGCTGCTCTACAGAATGGATGGAGGCGGGTCCCTTCCCAAATAGGGCAACCCTTATTTTGTTTGGGCGTTGGGGGGCTTTGGAGGGGTCACCGAGCCACCTTAGAGGATCTGCCAGGTGGCTGCCCAGCCCCGCGAGCCTCTGGTTTTTGCATAACTAAGATGAAGAAGGGTCTTAGGCTGAAGAAGGGTATCGGGAACCCTTAGAGGCTGTTCTAGGAAGCACGCGCCCCTCTCTCCCACTGCTTCGTTCATCGCGACGCTTCCTCACCTGTTCTTCCAGCGACCCCGGCCCTGGCCCTGGCCCTGGCTCCGGCCCTGGCTCTGCCATCTTGGTGCAAAGGCGCGTTTCATCTCCCACCTGTCCGACGAGGTCTTTTGCTGCTTGGGGCGCTCCGTAGAGTTGTTGTGCGTTCTATTCCATCCGGAGGGAGAGAGTTGGTGCGAAGACGTCGTGGTTGCTATGGAAGCTACCCCTAAGCTCGCTTTCCTGGGTCGTACACGTAGGTCACGTAAGCAAGAGAATGCGCGCTCCTAGGAAAGAGATAGAACTTGCTGCAAATCACCTGACCGGTGACCTGGCATTTGTCCCCCGGGTAGACATACGTCTGGAGGGCGGAAGTGCTCTGTTGTAGAGTATTCTTAGCCTGCCTTGGACGTGGGTATTTTCTGTTAGAAACGTGCCTTTTCCCACCAGAATTACTCACTATAGGGATAAAATACAATTTTGAAGAGAAGGGAGCTGGGTGAAGTTTACAAGCCCCAGCCCCTGACTCTCTTCAATCATAACTTAAGTTGTGGAGTGAATATTCAGCAGTAAGTTCATTGTGTTCAATGAGACTTACTCCTAATTTTTTTTTTTTTAAGGGGAGAAAAACTATACTGTTTGGAAGTCTTGGAAAAGTAGGATATAACGTAATGAATAACACAGGATTGTGGCCTTCGCTTTCTAAAAACACTGGCAAAAATTAGAGGGACTCCTTTTCCTGGTTATTAAATAGCCATTATCTGTGAACTTTCAAAATGGTTATCTGTCTTATCTCTTGGGGGCATGGAAAGTTGGTAACATTATAAAAAGATGATAATGATATTATAATAAACCATACACAACTATTTCCCAGTGGGAGTTCTTAGTAGTTACAGAAGGTACTGTAGGAAAAGAGCTGTGTTATTCTAGAGTAGTCAAAAATCAGAAGGGATCTGGTAGCATCTTTTCTGAGCACACATTTTATAAAAAGCTTTCATGAACTATAGCTCACTTTACCAGATGCATAGAATGGCTACATTAATGTAGGATTTAAATTGGGATGAGGCAGAGACGGAGAGTCAATAACAACTGTTAGTTGGAAAAGGTGCTACCAGACACTTCCTGATTTTTAGCTAGAGAAGGAAGACTCAAAAGTACATACTTGTTAACTCAAGGCATGAAAGAAGAGACAAAGTTCAGGCAATATAAATATCCTAATGACAGTTTTGGTTGGTTTTTAAAGCAGCTTGTAGTGTAGGGATAAATGGATGCTCAAGTTGGTAGTACACTTGCATGGAAATACCATGGCAAAGATTTATTTCTGCAATAATTTAATAACGCAGTTCTTGCTTCACAAATAAATAAAATAAAATCTCATAGCTACCATCAGCAGGTCAAAAAGAATAGTATTT